CCAGGCCCTTGGCCCTCGAAAAAGGGTTAAGATGCAGCCAAGGGCAGGATTTGAAGGCAGGAGAAACCAGGCTCTGCCCTGCATGGGAGGGGGCAGGGCTAAGGTACCCCATAAAGCAGTGGTTCTCAACCTTTTTGGACTCGAGCCCCCAACTCCTGACCTGCACTCCCCAGCCCTGCTGGTGCCCCTCACTCCCCAGCCCACAGCCCTCCACCCTGACCTGTAGCACCTCAACCCCTGGTGGGCAGGTCCCCTGCTCTAGCCCAGCCCAGAGACTTAGACCAGGAGAACAGGATCCCAGCTCTGACTTTCAACCCCTACTTTCTGCTTAGACCCAGACCTCTGGGACCCCACTGCTAAAAGATTACTAATAACTGCATGGTAACCCTACAAAAAGCACATCTTCCATGACCTCACAGCCCCTCCCACCCCCATGTGACCTCACAGGACCACTTACCAATTAGAAGCAGAATGAGGATTACAATGAGAACGATGAAGAAGGTGTTCCCATAGGTCACCACTGCCCTCACTAAGCGGGACCTGAAGATTTTCTGCCACCTAGGGGGAAGAGGAGGAGGGGGCTCAGGCCCAGATACCTGGGGTCCCCAGAGCCAGAAGGGCAGCAGTGTGCCCCTGGATCCTCCCCACCCCTGCTCCAGCCCGTGGACCCCTCTGAGAACCCAGGTATTTGGGCTCCCAACCCCCCCTGATCCTAGCTCCACTACCCAGCTAGAGAATGCAGCCCCCGCCCCCGCCAAGAGAACTCAGATGTCCAGGCTCCCAGTCCCACCGCCCAGGCCTACCACCTGCAGCCAGGCAACCCAGGTGTCTAGGTTCTTACCCCTAGGCTCCTTTCCCCACACAGAGAGCCCCAGCTCCCAGCCCTGCTCATCCACCCGCAGACCCATACCATACCCAGAGAACCCAGGTGTGGGGGAGGGGAGAATCTCACCTGGTTGCAGAGATGAAGGGAACACAGAGCAGCAGCACAGCAAAGACCTCGGCATAGAGGAAGGTGGCCACGGCTGTCCACTGCAGGCTCATGGCGGTGCTGGGAGGGGTTCTGGGGGGGGCAGCACTAGCCCCCCACATTAGCAAGAAGGCCAGGGATACCCTCAGGCTCCCAGCCCCACCCCTCTCCTCCCCAGAGAACCCAGGAGTCTGGGTACAGAGTCTCCCTCAATCCTCCCAGGCAGAAATCAGACACCTGGACTCCCACCATGGGTCCAGAACTGTTTTGTTGCGGGGGGGGGGCAGGGGGGGGGAAGAGTTGGGGTGCCAGCCGCAGCTTAAGGGAGGTAGGGCTTTGAGGACTCAGAGTAGCCTGGCCCCACCATCCTGGGAAGCTCCCCCTGCCTCCCACACACGTCTCCTGATCTGGCAGGCCCACCCCTTCTACGCAGCCACGGCTCATTATCTAGCAGCCCCTGGACCAATACAACCGCACGCGACAGGCCCCCCACTGCAACACCCCCCTGCTTGCTCACTATCTGGCAGCCCCTACCCCATACACCTCCCTGAATGGTTCACTGTTTATGACTCCCCCCAAGACTTGGGGGCTGGTAGCCGCCACTGCTGTAGCACCCAACCCCAGCTGTCCCAACAGTTCACTGCATGGCAGCCTCCACCCACTGGAAGTCTTAAATGGCTCATTCCAGAGCAGCCCCTGGATGGCTCATTATGTGGCAATTACCTATGGCTCAGCATCACAGCACCACCTCATGGCCCAGGAACTCCATCTCTGGCACCCCCTGGCCCACTGCAACCCCTCAGAGCAGGGGCGGACAATTATTTTGGGCAGAGGGCCACTTACTGAGTTTTGGTGAGCCCTCAAGGGCCACATGACAGGCAGCCCGAGGCAAATAAATATTAATTTTCTAAAATTTTTAGGGGCACTGCAGGCCAGACAGAACAGCCTGGCAGGCTGCACTTTGTCAGCCCCTGCCCCAGAGGCTCAACTAGTCAGCAGGCTCCCCCATGGCTGTGTGGGGCAGCTCCCCACTCCAACACACCTGCCAATGAGATGGGACTCAGCTCCCTCTCCCCCCCCCAGGGCTTACTATGGGG